AAATAATAAAAATTCTTATGTAAAAATTTCATGCTTGTATATACATATCCACATGTGCATGTATTGGTAGACAGTATTCTTTTTTTTAAATATTTTATTATATTTTTTGTGTATGAGTCTATTGCCTTCATGTATATGAGCACACCTGTATCTTGCAATGCCTGTGGAGATCAGAAAAGGATGTCAGATCTCCTGGAATTGGAGTTATGCACAGTTCCTAGCTACCATGTGGGCATTGGGATTTGAACCGAGGACCACTGCAAGAGCAGTCAGTGCTCTTAAATGCTGAACCATCACTCCAGCCTTGGAAAACAATATTCAAAAGAATTCTGTATCCACTTAGTTGATCAACAGGGTCAATACAAATCTGCTATTTTAAAAACCAGAACATATTTTGTTTTGGAGATCAATAAGCTAATTAAAATTTTATATGAAAACGAAAAGCTTTAGAGTAATATAGATAATTTTGAAGAGCAAAATATTGATTATCAGACACATTAGATTTATTCAAATTTCTCTATATACAGATATTTTCCCCAAAATGAATGAACTGAGCTCATCAAGTATAGTGGCAAGAACAGTATTTGATATTTTATGACAATGACAAAATTGAAAAAAAAAAGAATATTGGGGCTCTTTGATTCCCTGCAGCCTGAGCACCTCCAATGTCTGCCCTACACCCTGTCCCGCTTCTAGCCTTGGACCCAATCTCTGCCTGCTCTTCTTCCTCAGATCTCTGGACTAGTTTCCTAACCCAGACTAGCTTATTCCTCTAGCCTAGCTTGTTAGACCCTCCACAGGCTGTCCCCACCTCTGTCTTGCCCTGGACTCCTGCCCTGGCTGACATAGACTGGCCTGCCTACTACCCTGGTAAGTCAATCCTGCTCACTACATCTTGATTCCCCTGCAGCATGTGCACCTCAAATCTGTCACACACACATCCTGTCTCTCTTCTAGTCATGGGACCAAGCCTGCTCCTGCTTTTTGCCTTGGGGACAGAGAGGGGAGATTAGAGAAGGAGAGAGAGAGGAGAGATAAATAAAGCTTAGATGATGTAAAAATCTAGAGGGAAACACATTAACTCAAAAGCATTCTGAAAAATACACGTACGACATCTGAACATTAGTGCATGTGTATGCCTGAAGGCTGTATAACAAGGAACACTGTCAGACAGGAGAAACTTCCCTTCCAGTTGTTGGTCAGAGTAGTCCAAGAGACTCTCAAAATAACATAGGCTGTTGCCAGAGACCTTGATTACCTTCCAAAACTTGAAGGTAAGACCCTACTGCTAAAGACAGAGAACATACTTCAGACAGAGGACTTGAGGCAATGGAGGTGGAACGGACATGGAAGCCTTCTCCCTGAAGACTAGCTCTCATAGTTCTAGAGGAGACTATGCAAGCTGCTAGGGGTGGAAATTAATCAGAGGCCCAATCCAGCTCTAAAACCCAATAACCACAACAACTGGTGCAACAAACTACCTCTATTGGTGCAGTAGGCACACTGCTATCTAGGGGGAAATCAATAGTTATCAGATTGAACTTAAAGCCCTCTCAGTGGGCGGGAATTCATGGGTGGCACTCTAAATATAGTCAAATATGCATGAATGGAGAGGCCATAAATCCTAGAGTAAATCCTATCTCTCTCATATTTCTAAACAAATGAAATTTCTTGCCGTATGCTAAACATGAATCCTTATATTTACAGACAAGTATACCATACACACTAATCAAAGAAGCTTCTTTTTGCAGCAGATGGAGGATATTACAGTTCACGACTGGTCACATGCAGAGAATATATGTCTGAGAGATGCCCAGCCCTAAGTGACGTATCTACAGTGGAACCTCTACACCTAAGGCTCATGGAACATAGTGGAACAGGGGGTAGAGAAAATAATAATACATCCCTCAATTCTCACCAGCGAAGCTTTCTCATACAACAGAGTGTGATGCACAGAGAAGGCTACTATTGGCTAAGTTTTAGAGAATAAGAGACCACAGAGTGTGTGTCCCCAGATAAGACTCGTATACTAAACTTCACCCACTCACAGCTCAGGGACCATTGCAGAAGAGGGGGTGGAAAGATTGTAAGAGCCAAGGTTGATGCATGAATATAAGGAAACAGAGACTTTTAGTCTACTGGAAACTTGCTCATGTGAACTTGCAGCAATGGTGAAAGCATGCAGAGGACCCATATCAACTCAATCAGACAAAAACCCAGCATAGAAGAAGGGAAATGGGCAGCAGGCCCCAGTCCTAGCCTAAGAACTATTAGCAACTGATTACTGCTGGGTGAGGGAGAATAGATCTTCTTTAAGATCGCTATACAGGCTGACGAAACTCCAGTGGGTGAACTTGCACCAAAGGACATCTGAGTCCAAATGCTTGAACTGATAAGACTTAACATACATGATAGAATTCATGAAATCCAGTGGGGGGGCATTCCAGGGGGTGTGGATTGGGTCTAAATTTGATTAAGAACTATTGTATGAAATGCACGAAACTCGATAAAATATTTTTTAAAAAGAATATTGGAATTTTTGGAAAATTTGTGTCTACCTTTGGGAGCTTGGAATCTTCCCAATATTTAAATATTTGTTTTCCTGTTAATATAGTTAAGGATTATTGGTGCATAAGATATTTTAATATTGTAAAACGGAATGATCAACATTCGGAAGGTCTGTATATAACAATTAGCCAACCTTTCCCCAGTTTTGACCTATGCTTGGGGCTGACAAATTGAATGGAATTTACACATTTAAAATACCAAAAGACTAGTGGATTTCAGTGTAACCAGAATTGAAAAATATTGAGATAGTGTTTCAGATTCTACATTGCAAGTAAAGGAATGAGCACTTGCTGAATTCTAATACAATCCCAAAGAAAACTAACCACATTTATCTGAAGACATTTTAAAGAATTTTCCATATTAAAGCTACCTATCTGTGTGAAAATATATGCTGTTTTCATACAATTCAGTGAAAGAAGCCTTTTCAATAAGCTAGATGCAAATGCCGACTTGAGAACTTAGTTGTCTTCATCTAAGCAGATGATAAAGAGTGGAAAACAATGCTACACTTTTCATTGATTTTATTTTTGAAAATGTAACATTTTCCTAAATTTAGTCATTTATGATATGATGTAATAGTTTATTACTGTTGAAATAATATATGAATAATTGTAAATTTTCTCAATTTTAATGAAGACAATAAATACTGATGTAGCATAAATAACTATATATTTAAGAGCAATAGGATTCAGAGACCAAGACATTTGAAAATTGATAATTAGTGATCTAAAAATTTTATAGCAGTTTTGTTCATTGTCCTCATTTAATTAATGAGAAAGTTTTGTTAAAATCTTGTATCATCCTCATATTTTTGTCTATCTGTTCTTTTAGTTCTGTCTTTTTCTGATTTGTAAATCTTGAGTCCACATTAATAGTATAGTTACAATTTTACTGAGTTATATTTTCAGGATGAATTAAATATCAATATACAGCGATATTAATCCAAAATATTTTTTAACCAAAAGTCTATTTTTAGTCATGTTAATGTAACGGTACAACAGTTTGACTGGAATTTGAGGAAAGCACCTTTGAAAATTTAGACTTTTTCTTTGCTTTTGCTCTATATACACCTCATATAATCCAGAGCTGTGTTATTTTTGTTTTTCCAATTCTGACATTCCTGGTTAATATAATTTGGGATACATTTGGTTTGAATCATGACATTTAATATCTGTTTTATATTTTCTTACTTTATCTACAATTATTTTTCTATCTCTATTTCCTTTTGGATTTATTTATAATAATCATTTTCTAACTGTATGTTAAACATCTTGTATATTCTAGATATTGCCCTTTAATATTTAAGTTACATTTTTTCATTAAATCTTAATTTGAATCTCACTTTTATCTTTAAAAATGTCATAATTGTATCAGACACATCATATACTTATTTTAAAATTTAAAAATTTTAAAAATGGAAAAGAAATGTAAACCCTTCACTTTGTAAGTAAAATTGTGCTTACACATCCATTTAAATCTGCAATAAGCTTCCTGGCTTATTATGTAAATATATCTGTACTTTTACTCAGAATAATGTATAATAGTTAAAATAGAACCAATCTTTAGATCATAATAGTAAAGACTGAAGAGATTTTAGCCTTGTTGTAATCTTGATCTATTACATATTATATATTATTATTATTGAGAGACAAAGAGAGAGATTACAAATGTTCTACATTCCAATTAGTTAAAATTCTTGACTTTAATATTAACATGGCTAAAGGATTTATGATTATCTTAAATTTATTCAATAACATGATTATCTCTTTTTAAATCTTCCAAATCCTTAAAAGAACCAATAGCTATGTCCTCTTTTTCTTTTCTTTTTTTTTCGTAAGCCTGAGCCTTTAACGGCTGCACCAGCTCTCCAACCAGCAATGTCTTTTTTTTTGTTTGTTTAACCAGAATTCAAGAAAGTAGTTAATATTGTTGAGAAATAGTATATTTTATTTAATACTGGCATAAATTTAGACATTTTTACTTCATGCTGGCTCAAATTTTATTATTAATTTTTTCATTAAAATTTGAGTATGCAACTTCTATAAATTGTTAAGATAAATATTCTGGGATAGATATTTTTTCACAGATTTCAATGTCATAATATTTAAATTTTAGACTTAAACTTGTAGCTTTGCAATCCTCAAAGCATTTTAAATATCACAAAGGCTATTTATCTGTGTTGCAGAATCCATTGGTATACTAACGTAAAAGATAATTTAGTCACACAAACGGAAATTTCATTTCTATATATTCACATTCATTATATTCATTATTGTTAACCTAAATATCGGATATATAGGTTAAGAATAATTACTAAACAGCATCCCGATTATACGCAAATGTTACCAGTCGACGTCTGTACGTTGTTCACAGTACATAATCCGAAGGTATTGAGCATAGCCGCTGCAATTCTTATGGCCAAAGGTATTTACCTATCGAAATTGCCCAAACAATAGCAATCTTCATGATGGCCTTAGTCCGCGAATTGAACCGGCTATGCTCAATAGGATTACGTATTGCTACATACCGATCCAGCGATATAGCGCAGAGGTGCATGATGGACGCAGTAGAAAATAAAACATCTAAAGAAATCCAGACGGGGCACAAATATCTAGGTAATGGCCAGACATAATCTGAAAGAGAACAGAGAGAAGACAAAAAAAAACAAAAACAAAAAAAACAAAAACATGTTATTCAAATTGTACTGAATATACTTTTAAATTTTAGTTTACTTATTTTCCTCTCCATCTCAGTGGTGAAATTTCAGAATTATTATCCCTGGTCGTGATAATGATGTCAGTGCTATAATTTTTTTTATTAAAGTGTGCTTTACATAATACAAATTTTCGTACATTTTACTGAATTTTTGTGCATTTTGTACAAAACATCTTAATCAACTTTATACCCCCTCCTCCATCACCATCCCCTCTATGCCCCCCCAGCAGATTTCATGCATTCTGTCATATATGTTAAGGCCTATCACGTCCAGTTTCTGTATCCAGATGTCCCTCAATGAAAGCTCATCCGCTGGTGTCTAGTCGGCCTATCTAGAGTCGCTCCCTTAAAAAGGATCAACTCTACTTCACCCAGCAATAATCAGCTGCCAATATTTTTCCACTAAGGTTAGGGCTTGCTACCCATTTCCACAGTTCCATGCTAGGCTTTTGTCTGACTGAGTTTGCATGGGTCTTGTGCATGTTTACACCATTGGTATAAGTTCATATGAACAAATTCCCAGAGGCCTGGAAGACAGTTTCCTTATGATCATGCTCAATCCCTGTTCTTTCAATCCCCTCCCCGCCTTCTGTAATGGTGGGTGTGTTTAAATATAAAATTAATAACTTTAGAGTATGAAATCCAAAGGCATTATTACCTTTACAGTATCATTCAAATATTGGCTCTGTCTAAGTTTGGATCATTTCATCACTCCAAAATCAAACCAGTAGCTATCCATTATGAGCAGTCACACACCACTCTTCTCTCCCCAACCCCTGGGCAAACTCAGATTTTCATATAGTTGGGAGTATTTTTCATAGTGGTGTTGATAATGATAATGAGACATCCATTTTCATCTATGTATCCATCTCTTTTAATGTGTGGTGATCATGTGAGGGATTTGGGGGGTAACCTTGTAATTCTTTCCCTATTCTCTTTATGGATTGTTTATTGCTGTGCATAGAACTGCACAATTTTTCATTTGTTGTTCTTGTATCCTGTAACTTTGCCAAGTTTATTTATTATGCAATAATAATTTTGCTTCTTCTTTTCCAGGTTTCCCACTATGTTTTATTTCCTTTCCTTGTCTATTTGTTTTAAGTAGAACTTCCAGTACAGTGCTGGAATAGGAACAATGAAAATTGCCATCGTTTCTTTTTCCTAATATCATAGAAGGATGTTTTAGCTTTTTACTATTCAGTATATTAGGTATGTGGTTTTTTTTTTGAATGCTTTTCATCATGTTGACCAAATTCATCTTTGCTATTTATCCTTTGAGGGTTTTTCTAATAAAAAAGTTAAGATATAGAAAAGTAATGGGTTTTATCAAATAGGTGTTTCTGAATCAGATAAGATGATAATTATTGCATGATGCACTGCATCAGTTGATTTTATTTAAGTTAAAACACATTTTCATCTTTGGGCTGAATCTATTTCATCATGATGAATGTAGTATGGTGTTGGATTTAGTTTGCAGCACTTTGTTGGGAATTTTTACATCTATATTCATATGTGATATTGATGTATAATTTTCTTATAGTGTATTTATCTGGCACGACTTCAGCTGTGCCTGCTTGCTAAACATAGTCACAATTGGGCTTGTTGAAAGTTGTGCTCCTTCATTAAAGGAGGGGCAAGCAGGGTCATTGGACCCTCACTAGAGTATCCAGTCACTCTTCCCGGCCAACTGTATGTAATTTGGCCCTAATCACACATCATCTCCTGGATGTGGGGAGGGCTAAAATATATAATCTGGGGAATGCTAAGAAGAGAAGGCTTGATCCATGCTGGTTAAAGGCTTTCCAGTGTGCATACTCTCAGGTCACTCATATACTCAGCAACCCCTCAGTCATCTCTGTAAGTAAGCTCAGCAAATTCATTGGTTTTCCAGGAAAACTTTAATTAAACATTGGTTTGATGCTAGAACCTTAAAAGGCGATAAGTATTACTTAGTATCCCTAGGAAAACAATTCTCACAAAAGATGGAATATTTATTTGTTAGTGCTACTATGTCTCATAATTATTTTAAAAAATGAGAATGTAAAAGATGTTAAAAGAATATGGGAATGGAGATATTTTCCAAAATAGACAGAAAAAATGAAAAAGCCTAAGCAAGCAATGAAGGTCTGTGTAGGTTTGTTATGATACACAAATGATGAGACTAAAGTAATATACACATAATCCTAAAATTTCTAAGGTCATAGTTTAGTCAATTAGTTTAAGGACCAAAATATATGTCTAGTCAAGATTTATCTGAGAACGTTCGGTTTTTGCCCAAGCTTAAGATACATAGCACATGGTAATTAAAAATACCAGACTGGTGGAACTAACCTTCTTGGATGTTTAACAGCCATACTTTGAGGCCTATACTAATCTGGTCAGAGGGCCTTAAAGGAAAGTTTTTTGCTTCTTTCCCTCCAAGGTTGACTAAATTCCAGGGGACTATGAAGCATCTCTGAAAATATCCTGTAACTGTGGTAAGTCATCTGTTCTCTTGTTCAGGGAGGCCATGGAGACCCCACCAGATGGACTTGAACTAGTGTCCAGTCTACAAAGAGGAGGGCCAACACAGAGGAAACATTTTCTCCATGCTTCTAAGTCGAGCAGGAAATTCGGCTTTATTTTCACATAAGTGGAACTGGTGAAAGAAAGGAGCCAGGTGCTCCTCCCAAGCCCATGTGACCCATGAGGAACAGATACTCAAACGACCTTAAGAGTAAAAATAAATTAGTTTGTTTAGGCCAACTGTATGGTCTTCAATGCCCAAAATGTTAAAACAATTATTTCTCATTGATGGTTTTGTTCCTAATCAGAAAGCACTGCTTAGATGTAAGACTTCAAATCTTGGTCTGCAATAACGTAGTACCCACATGTAGCTAAAGGAGACAACCAGCTATTGTTCTGAAATGATGGCCAAATTTGTTTTCTCCCCCTATCTAGAAGCCTTTGAGAGGGAACTGACACTGATTCTAACCACTCCAACAGCTATCAAGATACCTGAAAGCAAATCCTGAATCTATCACTCTCAAGTCCAGCCCTGGACTCCCTCCAATGGAGTCTCATATGGACATTTGAAAAATTGCACTGTTCTATTTTCTAGTTCCCTGTCTAGAATTTGTAATGCTAATTACTCTGTCTAGAACTTGTAATGCTAACTACTCTTGCCTTTACTTCTCCTTCACATCTGTTCACCAGTCAAGGACTTTCTTTTCTCCCTACATAGAAGTGTAATACAATTTGGGAGTCTTTTAGATAGACCCACTGAAAGGGTACTCCAATTGCTTCACCCTGGTGTCCCTGTTCAGCATGGAAGAAGCCAGAGTCCCCATCAGCAATTTGGGTAACCTCTTAAGAGGATGGTGTGATAAGAATAGGAGGTAGGAATTGGCTAGGCAGTTAGGGTAAAAAGACCCCAAAGAAAAGTAGCCAGTTTTTGGCTAAAAGTCAAAATGTCCTTGGGCTTCTTAGCAACATACTCTGTTCCAAAGGCCAAAAATGTCAAAAGTATTTGGGAGCTTTTATCTATTCCTTTAAAGATTTTAAGGTTACCTCTTCAGAGGGGGCAAATATCAGAGTAGCAAAAAGTCCCATAAAAAAGAAAGAAAGAGTACATGAAGTTGTCAGAATAAAGTGATGGGGAGATATGGGAGGAGTTGGAGGGGAGGGAGTGGGTGTGGATTTTATCAAAACACCTTATATGCATGTGCATGTTTAAAATCCTCAATAAAAGTTTTTAAAGTTAAAAAAAGATAATGTTGGTCTCACAGTATACATTCTATAAAGGATTGGTATTAACTATTCTTTAACTGTTTGGTGAAGCCAGTGAAGCCATTTGGGCTTGTGCTTTCTTTGTTCAGAGATTTATGATTATTGATCCAATGTCCTAATGTATTATAGGTCTCTTCAAATTACTTCTAGATTCATTTTCAATAGTTTTTTTTATTTCTGTGAGCTTGTTTCATCTAGATTATTTAATTTGTTAGAGTGCAACTATTCATTGTATTGTTTTCTACAGTTTCAGTTATTTTATGTGTGAATATATCTGTGATTTTTGCGTGTGAATGTATGTGTAAATGAATATATATACAGGCAGAGGCAAAAAGAGTGTGTTGGATCCCCTGGAACTGAAGTTACAGGCAGTTGTGTGCTGCCTGATTTGCGTGCTGTGATTCAAGATTCTCTGAAAGAGTAGTAAGCCCTCATGTCCACTGAACTATCTCTGCAGCCCCTATTTTCTAATCTTTCTAATTTCTATATGGTGTATAGAAATGCACTGACTTTCACACTTAATTTTTTCTTTTTAGTATATTCTTAGTTTATCTCACTAAATCTTTGTCAACTTTTCAAAGAATAAACTTTTTGTTTTCTTAATTGTATTTATTTGTCTTATTTTCTGTTATGTTGACATTTCAGTTTTTGCTAGTTGGGTTAATCTTGCTCTTATTTTCTAGCTTCTTAAGGCATGGAGTTAGGTTAGGTATTGTTATAAATATAATGATAGTTGTAAAATTATTTTCTGAATTTCAACATCTACATGTTCTCAGGATATGTTTCTGAAAAGTAGGTCTATGCATAGGTAGGAATATTACCCTTACCTTTTCTTACAGTGAAAATTATCACACCCTAAAGAATATGGATTTTGTTATATTGCTCCAAAGGGTTTTTGTGGTTTTAGTTTCCAGGCATCATCTTAGTTAGAAACAAGTCATGATTTCTAGCCCTTGATCTGAGGTTCAAATGATACCACTTACTATTTCGTAAGCTGCTTGAAGTATTTACTAAATGTGGTAGTTTCAATGAAAACTATCTGCCATAGGCTCGTGCATTTGACTGCGTGGTCACAGTTGGTGGTGCTGTTAGTGGAGGTATGGCATTGCTGGAAGGGACATAAAACGGAGTAGGTTTTGAAGACTTCATA